ACTGGCCAGCAGTCCACCCCCCCAAAAAATTTCAAAAGCAAACGTAGAAAGTTACATAGATGTAAATATAACACCAAGGTCAAGGGTTTGGAGGATCCCCGTATACTGGCCAGCAGTCCACCCCCCCCAAAAATTTCAAAAGCAAACGTAGAAAGTTACATAGATGTAAAAAAAAAAAAAAATTAAAGGTAGTATTACCATGTGATCTAGCAATTCCACTTCTATGTATATATCCAAGGGAATTGAAATAGGAATCTCTAAAGATATTTGCACACCATGTTCATTCCAGCATTATTCACAATAGCCAAAAGACAGAAGCAACTCAAATGTTGACGTACAGAAGAATGGGTGAAGAAAATGTGGCATGTACTTACAGGGAATATTATTCAGACTTAACGGTAGGGAAATTCTCTTACATGCTACAACATGGGTGAACCCTGAGGACATGATGCTAAGTGAAATAAGCCAGTCCCAAGAAGGAAATACCATATGATCCATTGCTGAGGTACTGAAAGCAGTCAACCTCATAGAAACAGAAAGTAGAACAGTGGTTGCCAGGGGCTGGGGTAGGGGAAATGGGGGGACGATGTTCAATGGATATAGAGTTTCCATTTTGCAAAGTGAAAAACTTCTAGAGATCTGCTCACAACAATGTGAGTATACTTAACACTGCTGAACAGTAACACTTAGAAATGGTTAAGATGGTAAATTTTTTATCACAATTAAAAATAAAGATTTTATTTGTAATTTAAAAACCTTACCAGAAAGAAAACAAACTCCAGCCCCAGATGGCTTCACTGGTGAATTCCAGTGAACTTTCGAGGAAGAACTAATTATTCCTCAAGAACATTTGAGAAAGAACTAATATCAAGTACTCAAACTTTTTCAGAAAATAGAGCAGTAAAGAACACTAACCAACGAATTCTATGAGGCAAGTATTACCCTGATACTAACACTAGACTAAGACGTCACATGGAAAGAAAACTACAGATTATATTCCTCATGAACATAGACATAAAAATCCTTAATTAAAAAAAAATCCTTAATGAAATATTAGCAAATGAAATCCAGCAACTTACACAGAGGATAATGCTCATTCATCATGACCAAATGAGGTTTATCCAAAAAGGCACTGTTGGCATAACATCAGTCAATGAAATTCACCATATTACAGGATAAGGAAGAAAACTCATCTGATCATCTCAATAGATGTACAGAAAGCATTTGAGAAAACGAAGAACTCATTTATGGTAAAAACGCAGCAAACTAAGAGTAGGAACTCCTCAAAAGTGCATTTATGAAAAGTCCACAGCTGCCATCATGCTTTTATTAAGGAGCGAAAGATAATATTTCCCCTCTGAAGATTGGAACAAGTCAAAGGACGTCTGCTCTATGCATTTATAGTCAACATAGCACCGGAAGTCCTAGTCAGTGCAATCTGGCAATAAAATGAAATAAAAATCGCAAGGTTGGGGAAAGAAGTAAAGTTGGTATTTAAAGACAAACCTGACCATTAAGTAGAAAGTCCTAAGTAATATATGAACACTACTAGAACTAATTGAATTTATCGGAGTTGTAGGATATGAAGTCAGTATAGAAAACAATTTTAACTTTATATGCTAATAATGAAAAACTGGGAAAAAAAATAAAAAGCAAGTCCAGTTTTAACTGTATTAAAATAATAAAAATCTTAGGAATATATTTAATGAAAGGTGTGCAAGATCTGTGCACTATAAACTAGAAAATATTGTTGAGAGAAGTTAAAATAGACCTATGTGAATGGAGAGATACGTCATATGCATGGATTGGCAAATTAATATTAAGAGGAAAATTCTCCCTAAATTGATCTATAAATTCAATTTAATCCCAATCAAATCCTAGCAAGGCTCATTTGAAAGGACTGGCAAACTGATTAAAATTCATATAGCAAGACAATGGACCTTAAATGGTCAGAACAATTTTCAAAAAAGAAGGCAAGGTAGCAACGAGCATGCTTAGTGCCCAGATAATTGGTTTTATACCATTCTTCAATAAAAGAAATCAGAGACCCGTGAAGAAATTGCTGATTCTAGGACTGGGGCAGGAAATATACAGGACGAGCTTGGGTCGTCTTGCAGTGCCAGTTGTAATTTCAACTGTCAAGGTCATCAAAAGAAGGAAAATCTGAAAAAGAGGAGCCAAAGGAAAAATGACAACTGAAAGTACTGTGGTTTTCTATATGGGAGCGTGGAACAGAAAAAGGACATCAGTAAAAAGTAAGGAATAAACTATGGGACTTTAGTTAATAATAGTGTATCACTACTGGTTCATTCACGGCAACAAATAGACCATACTCATATCAGAAGTCAAAAACAACTGAAAGTACTGTGGTTTTCTATATGGGAGCGTGGAACAGAAAAAGGACATCAGTAAAAACTAAGGAATAAACTATGGGACTTTAGTTAATAATAGTGTATCACTACTGGTTCATTCACGGCAACAAATAGACCATACTAATATCAGAAGTCAAAATAGGGGAAACCGCGTGTGGGCTGTATGGTAACTTTGTAATACCTTCTCAAATTTTCCATTAATCTAAAACTGTTCTTAAAGTCTAGTTTAAAAAAAGAAAAAGATAGGGTTGGAGGACTCTTCCTACTCAATTCCAATACTTATTATTTCCGGTATTAATGACCATAACTAAAGTGTGGTATTGTCATGAGAAATACGAAGGTACTTCAAAAAGTTTATGGAAAGACAGAATTAAAAGGTAATGTGAATCTTTCCATGAACTTTTTGAAGTACCCTTGTATATAGATAAATGGAACAGAACAGAGAATCCATATATAGACCCACACTTATAAGGCCAATTGATTTTTAGCAAAGGCAACAAGGTAATTCAATATGGAAAGTACAGACTTTTAACAAATAGAGCTGGAACAACTAATATCTCTGGAGAAAAATCACCCTTAATGCTTACTTTACTTACTCTTCCCTAAATTTTTACTTATTTCTCTTACTCCATATAACTTGAAAAGGCTCATTGACCTAAACATAAGCACCAAACATAGAAAATATCAAGATATTAAATGATGAAGGACGTAGTGGTGCCAGCCTTAATGTGTGGCATTTCAGGCAAACTTGATGATGGGCAGGACACTTGAAAATCGGATCCTCAGATAACTGTGTGAGGCATGGGGCATTTGCCCCATTTTACAGATAGGGAAACAGGCGGAGGTAGGTTGCTGGTTATGCAGCTGGTGTTGCAGACACTAGCGGTGCCTGTGTCAGACCCCTTTGGTCCATCTCTGCAGTGCTGTAGTGGAGAGTTCGACTAAGTGCAGACGTAACGATGACACCATCCCTCCAGAAGCATGTTCTGTGCTTCTTTCTTCTTATCACTCTGGGCCTTCTCCAAAGTGAAAGAGCCTGTGTGACCCTTGTGTAAGTGCAACTCAGAAGAGTGGGGGGGTCTGCACTCCCGGGGCAACCTTCAATCAATGAGAGATCAGAGCCGGTGGATAAATGCACCAGCATCCTCTCTTTCAGAAAGACAATTTTAGGTGCTTTCTGTGAGATTCTGGTGGAACTGAGTCCCCATTGCCTAGAATGTTGACCTTAATTATGCACCATTATATTGACCATTCTTTCCTGTACCTTTCTTCTTGTGATAAATGCACCAGCATCCTCTCTTTCAGAAAGACAATTTTAGGTGCTTTCTGTGAGATTCTAGTGGAACTGAGTCCCCATTGCCTAGAATGTTGACCTTAATTATGCACCATTATATTGACCATTCTTTCCTGTACCTTTCTTCTTGTTCCTGAGATCACTTGTCCAATAAACCTCTTGTACCCTAAGTCTTAATTTCAGGCTTCGTTCCTCTTTGGAACCAGGAGTGGCCCTAGAAAACAGACACTCAGGATGGGATTCTGGAAATGGATTGTCCACTCAGTGGTCGGATGGCAAGGAGGGCTGTGTGATAAGCGGATGGTGACAAATTTTGGCAGGCTGTACTATTACAATTACTAAGACTCTCACTTGCACTGGATTGAGATGAAGAACAGGTGAAAAGGGAGGAGTTGGGTTATATACTAGCTCTGCACTCGAATGAAAGGGGCAAAGGTATTGTCACGTACTGACGTGCACTGTGAAGTTGGATGCTTTTTGATAACTGCCTTAGAAGCCTTGGAGAAAAAGAATTAGGCCCAGGTGAGCCAACTATTACCTCAGGGAATGCTAGAAAGCCAGATGGGCTCCATGACATTGTTTGGACAGTCCTGTCTTCTGTACCCAGAGGGTAGACTGGGTTGAAAATAAAACCCATGCTTCAACCACAAGGGTGGCTGGGCTACAGAGGAATGTGCAGATTTGACAGGTCACTTATGCTAAAGTCAGAGCCATGAAAAGGAAGGAGTTCCTCAGACCTGGAATGGGGGATTCGTTAAAGGTCCCTCATAAATTTGAACCACCAGTTTTCCCAAAATATTCTAGGCCAGCAGAAGGGTTCTCCCCCTCAGAGAACAGCTGCCCTTTGCAAAACAGCTCAGCTGAGGTTGATGCTTCACAGGTTAAAGCTTGTGCTCCTCAGGATCTTCTTCTTTCACCTCTCATTGCCTTTGGGCCATTAATTAAGGTAAGGAGTTTTCATGCACAGCACCAGCAGGGAAACTCAGTTTCTGTCTCGGGAGTAAACAGACTACCCACTGAAAGACCTGGGGAGCCTGGGTGATCCGTGCTGGCGTGATCCAGGGGGAGCTGTACAGGCATGGATCGTCAGGGTCTTGGATGGAGGGTAGTGTATATAATAAGGCAGGGCAGGGGAGAATTGATTGGCATGGGACTGTTCTTTTTCAAATCAGGATTTAACATCTTGGCAAGAATACTTAGGAATGACATGCTGTACACATTCTTATTAGTCTTGTTTGTTTTTATTGATCGTATATATTTGTGGGGTACAGAATTGAGCATCAATACTGTTATTAGTTTTACTATTAAGATTCTAACTTGTTCACAAGAATCAGTCAAGCATTAGACCCGATTTGTGCTTTTTGACCTATGGGAAGTCCTCCATCCAGCACCCTTCGGTCATAATCAGTCATTGCGCCACAGGGTTCACATTGAACTAAGTGAAAGGAAGGGGGTGATAAGTTAAGAAGAATGAACGTGCCAGTTGTCATCTGTAAAATCATGTGCAGTGTCAAGATAATCCAAACCCAGTCTTACAATATGAGGATAATTATTGCCTGCACTTTTCAGACGTGTGCAAGGGTTTAAAGTCTCTACCAAACCAATTGAACTGGTCCTTAGCAGGAGGATGCAGTTCTCTTAAGGCATTATTAATTTGGGATGATATGTTCACTTGTCAGAGTTGATGATGAATATTTCTGTGATGAGGTGCAATGGCTTCCTAGGGTCTTTTATTCTTTGTATTAGCAAAATTACAATGTCAGTTAATACAATATAGTCAGGATATTTTAAATAACTTTATTCTTAAACTTAACAAGCTCTTATTAGAAATGCTTTGGTATCAATACAATAAAAATATGCTGGTTTTTTCCCCACTGAATCATGTCAAGTAACAGGAAAAGTTAAGCATTCATTTCCCCAAGCTTTTTTGGAATTCTTCACAAATAATGACTACTACTTATTCACATGGCTTAATATGGGAAATTATAATTTTTTGAATTTCAGGAAAAGGAAACAAAAAATATCCAGAAGAGAAATTTGCAAACGTTTCTTAGTTTCTTGTCCAGTGGATGTTTCTGTGGGTGGTACACCTCTTAGATCACTTTTTTCCCCAGCTTTGCCATTCTCATCCTTAAAGCTGCAAATTAAAGGAAAAAGAATAGAGAGAGTTATAAAAATAAGCCCTAAGTTTTACTCTAAATGAGCATTTCATAGAATGCAGGAAAGTTAGAACATACCTCAGAGGGTTTTATCCAACCATGTAAGCATTGTTTTAGTAGCACAAAAAGATAGTAGAAATAATAAGCTATGGTTAACTTAGGGCAGAAGCAGGTTCAGAACTAGAAGGAGCCTATTTCTATAAAGATTAGAAAAATTAGTAGAGCAAACACAGTACAAGTTCATTAAATATAGGATTAGTGCACAATTTCACTATTAGCCATAGTTACACATTCCTGGTCAATGACTGTGTTTTGTGTATATTTCTGAGATATGTACCACTGGGGAAAAAAAGGTATCGACACAAACTCTCCTTCATAATACACAGTACAAGTTCATTAAATATAGGATTAGTGCACAATTTCACTATTAGCCATAGTTACATATTCCTGGTCAATGACTGTGTTTTGTGTATATTTCTGAGATATGTACCACTGGGGGAAAAAAGGTATCGACACAAACTCTCCTTCATAATTGGGTTATCCTTTAGGTCATTAAACCTGGTAGTCCAAAGAAACTCTAGCCTTTGGATATACAGTGACAAAAACAAAATTCTTGATGAATAAAACAATGTGCACCAGGAGTTAAGAGTTGGAGAGATTATAAAATGTCTTTGTCAAGAAATAAGTACGCTTTCAAGTGGCAAAATACCTTTTTTGAGCATATTTTAAGGCTATTGATACACTGGATGTAGAAAGCATTTTTAAAAATGTAAATTTAGAATTTATAACATTCCTTTGGTATCATGCCCTAAGTATTTAGAATTTTAGAGTATAGCTGCTTCAGTCATCTTCCAAAAGTTGAGAGATGCTTTCAAGGCACTGATCTAATGATTATAGTTATGATCTAATATTACATGATCTAATATTACATTCATGTGTAATATGGCCCAAGAACCAGCTATTTAACTGATTGCACAATTTTGTTTAATTAAAAAATCAAAGGGAAGACATGTTCTCTCATTTCTATGCTGTATATTAGTTATCTATTAAAAAAGGAAATGACTCTATCTTTAAGAAGACCTGAGCACAAACATGAAAAGGAATGGGGACCCAATACTTTAACAAATGGTCATTTTTATTGTCACTCCACTTAGGTAAAATATTCTCATTTCAATGAAGTTAAAAAGCAATATTTCCCTTAAAACTTTAAGAGAAATGATCATTTTTCGTGGTAGGGCCAAGAATATTCCCTTGAATTTAGGACTGGCTAAGACAATTTACTTTACTCTGTAGGAAGCAGGATGGACTTTATCGCTGGGAGCTGTTGGACAGTGAGGGGACTGCAGTTCCACAGCGGGAGGTGGACAGAAGGCAGAAGGCAAAGCTTTACGAATTTTCTACTCTTAGATTTTATGGACCTTGACATTGCCCATACCACAAAAAGAGAGCTGGGGTAAGGGACTTTTTAAAGGTGTCTTTTAAGGCAGGGGCAAAGTCCTCTTCCCTGCAGTTACTCCTCACCTTGAGACTCCATGAATCAGGCACACGCTGTGTACCATGGACATTCACTGAGGTTTGTTAGCATCTGCCTTTGTTTCTCTCCTTTCTTCAAGCCTATGGCAAGTAGATTCTGTGAGTTCCAGGTAAATTTGTGGGGCCAGAACGTGTCGGCAATGGAAGGCCCCTTTAGCTAGCAGCCAAAAACACCTGTGCCATCAGCTCTCCTCTAACTCCTCTTTTCCTGCTCTTCTCTGATCCCTGCCTCCTCTCTTAGCAATTCAGATGCTGCCACAGGTTGGCAATTTCAACACTAATAGCATGTAAATAGCCCAGAGCTGAGTTCCCCGACCTCCTCATCCTGAAATGCCACTGACATGTCTAAGAGGGCAGAATAGAGCTAGAAGTACCAGAGTAGGTTGGTGACGACTATCAAAGAAAGCCAGCTGTCTAGCTGATGGGCGTAGAAGTGGGCTCCCAGGAAAAGCATGCTGGGCTCACGCCATGGAGGAAATGTCTGGCACTGAGCTATACCTTAGAACATAACATGTACTAGAAGTACCAGAGTAGGTTGGTGACGACTATCAAAGAAAGCCAGCTGTCTAGCTGATGGGGGTAGAAGTGGGCTCCCAGGAAAAGCATGCTGGGCTCACGCCATGGAGGAAATGTCTGGCACTGAGCTATACCTTAGAACATAACATGTTGTATTTACATTAGCAGATGAATGTAACATTGCCTAAATTTTCCAACCATGTCTTACCCTGTTTAAAATTTTGACTAAAAAAAATCTTGTCTTTAGAATCTCCAGGCTCCATCTTTTTCCACCTTTCTTCCTCCTTCATGCTGTTTTCCACATTAAAAATTGCTCTTAGATAAGGCTTTGATAACCATATTTAGACCAAGGGAAAAGAGACTAACAACATTTAACCATTATGCCTACTATGACTATTTATATTTAATAGGGACCTATACCATAAATAAAAGAGTTGATTGAAATGGTGAGTTTTCAAGTATCATAAGCACTTTTGGGGGGAAGGTGTGGGGAGATGCTCAATTTTCTTGGTGCTTGTGAAATTGAAATGCACAGGTGACTATGTATTCTATGTATATGAATGGCCCCTGATGGCATATGATAATATAATTTACTTATCTATGAGACCCATATAAAAAAAACATATCAGCTCTGTAATCCCTGTGCTGAATTGGAAAACAGGAATGTAAAACAATATCATGATGGAAGGCAAGGAATTTGGAGCATTCTGTTTATAAGATACTTTGATCGATAGTACAGAACGTTGTAGTGTTACTTTGTCTGGAATAGGTTTTCCTGTTTTCATTATTTTAGTTCAGCGGCATGATTAGTGTTGTCTGGAAACATTAGTCACTTCCTTTAATTTTCCATGGGGTAAATGGTTAGGGGAGAAGAAACAAGGGAGTTCAGGAAGAACTCGCCAAGTTCTAAAAAGGGAGGTTTTATAGTGGTTAATGTCACCGCTGTTGACTGTAAACAGGGTGTTTCTCTTTTCTAAGTTTCTGTGTTGTTGTTTTTAAAACAAGTTTATGATGCAACATTTGATCAGGATACAAAGCTCATTCTCAAAATGGGAAGGAACTTTCACTGTGGAGATATAGCATTCAGCTCTGATGGAGGAAGATATACATGTATACTTCCCAAGAAGTTAAAAGTTCAGATAATCATATTTACAGTTGGTATGCCTAATTTAACTACTTAAAAAAATAAAAGAGGATCCATTTTATTGTATTATTGGCAACCCAAGATTGGGTTTATGGTATGCCGAGGAAGAAACATTCTTAATTTGTGCAGATACTATCACATTTCTATACAATTGTCAGGTTCTGCTGCTGAATTAGCTGGTACTTAATATTTATTGCTTTTAACAAGAATTCTCCCATTACAGACATTTAAAAGTACTAACCCTTTCAAACCTGTAGAACTTGTATGTTTTGGTAATTTACATCTTTAGCCAAGATAAGTACAGATATAATACTTGGTTTTGTTAGGTTCTTGTTTATTCTTTATAAATAATAACTAGAATATAATATTTAAGTAATAACAAGAAATCTAAAATTGAAGAGCTCTCACTTTTGTACGAAAAAGTGTTAAAGTTATTTTGCATTCAATGCTAAAATAGCTATAAAGCTATAAAAATCTTTATAGAGAACGAGAAATGCGAAATATATAGAAAATAGAAAAAATAAACATACTAAGTTGGGGAATACTGCAAAGCTAAATGTTACAGATGATGTAAGATAAACTGACAATGTATTTTAAAATGTAGAAAATTTAAGGAAATAAAGTCAGTAAAACTATAAAAGTATAGAGAAATAAGATATAGCAAAGTAATAAAATATTCTGAAAATAAAACTTGTTTCTTGTATTTTCTTGTGAACTTAAGGCAATTTGTTCACTTATGTAGGAAGTCTAAATCACAGAGAGGCACAAACAAGTAGTTGTCATCAGGTTCCAGTGGGAAAAGATATGTTATTGATAATCCAACATATTAGTGACCCCAATATATTCACACACAGCACCACCTCATGACAGAAGACAAATTTCACGTTACTAAGGTCAATCAATGCGATGCCCACATAAAACAAACTTTATTTTCATTTTCTTTATCTTTCAAAGTGACTTAATTACTTTACTGTGCTTATAGTAATTCAGATCAGCATTAATAAAGAAACCTGTGTGTATTAGTTTATGAGGTGGTCAAAGAAGCTGAAAGCAAGAGGGTTTGTTCATGCAAAGAGATTGTCACATGACTAAACAGCAGTGGCATGCCTTTTCATTTTTATTACCTGTTAAAGACGGATCCTCAGTCCCATCTCCAGGTATCTGAACATCAAGCGGAGAATGGTGAACAGGGCTGCCTAAGCTTGCTTCTTGCTCTTTCAGAGAGATGGAGTTTTTGTGAGGAGATTTCTGGCTTGTGTTTTCATGGGGACTAACTTCTGATCTCTTTCTGGGAAGGGGTGTTGGTTTGGCTGGCTGGTACACCTGACTATGGGGAGCTACTGGGTGGTAGGATGGTTTCTCAGCTTCTCCTTCACCCTCCTCCTCCTCCTCATCAATCACAACCAGCTCAGCATGGATGATCCCATCATACCCTGTCAGAAGCCTCTTTTCTTCTTCACTGTCTTCTGCCTGCTGATACCCCATGAAAATCATTGTCACAGGTTCTGTACCATCCATGTCAGCAGGCAGGGAATGAACGATATTGTATCTAACATCTTCCTCATCCTGGCACGTGGGTGAAGAACCTCGGTGTTCTGACTTCCCAACTGTTGTTTCCCTGGGGATCAGTCTTGCCTTTGGAGAGGGCGCATATTTGTCCTGCATGACATTTGGTTCTCCCCGAGGACTCATCAGCCTCTTTTGTGCGGTGGGGAGAGTCTCTTCTGCTTGTTGATTCGTTGACCTGGGATAAGGTATTGGCCGAATGGGACTGGTGTGATTGACGTTGTCGCCCAGTTGCTCTGAAGGTCCGTTGTCCATATTGTGTATGGGTTCATTTCCATCATTGCCCAGTCCATTAGCCTTAATTTTCACCCTTTCTTGAAAGTTTGGTCCAGGGGTTACCTTTTCTCTCTGTGGGGTTGTAGGCCTGCAAAACGGATTGGCATATACAGGCTCGTGATACTCTGTGGGGGACTTAGAGCTTCTCTCCGAAGCTTGTCTTAAAAGGTCTTCTACCTCGACTGGTGCCAGGCCATCGGTGCCGTTGTATGCTGCACTGTCATTAGAGCTCACCGCATACACTGACTTTTGCCCGTCATCATAAACTTTTATTCCTGTACCTTTAAAGTCATCCGATGGGAGGGGTATTGAAGACAGAACTGTACTTTCTCCAGTCTTCAAGTCTTTTTCAACTTTGATTTCCATGGCATACAAAGCTGTTAAGAGACAAATTTGATCTCTGATTTAGTTAACTTTTTCTTTTATAAATTAGCCTGCTTTCACAGTGTTTATTTTTGTATTAAGAATACCCTTTGACATTCTTTTAGTGAGATGTCTATTTTTAATATTTCTGATTTTACTAACTAATTATATAACCACCAACTGTGTAATAACATGGATTTTTATGTAGGAATGTATGAAATTACTGAAATAATGGGAAGGACTGAAGAGAAGCTGATGGTCCCGAATAGTGAAAGTTGTCACTGGGCAATCAAAAGATATCCTCTTTCCGATAAATAAATCCAACAAGACAGATTTACACGGTTTTGCATTTACACTCGAGGGGAGGCATCAGTCTCTTCTAGTTAGGAGGAATACGTTGCACTATGTATTGCAGTAGGTAAAATGCCTCGCACTGTGAATTTTATTAAGTTATATCCTTGTCGCACAGGCCAGCAGCCTGTCAAAATTACAGAGGAGTGTTCTAAAGTTTTCTCAAAGGAGGTTGTTTAAATGTAGAACTGCTATTGAAGAGGGAAGGAGAAGTTTAGAATCACAGTCTTTTTTTTTTTTTTTTTGCCTTATGTTTCTTTTCGTTTTCATTCCACTTTTCAGGTAGAGGAAGGGCTAAAAATAAAGCAATATCAATAGTACTGAAGCAACTAGACTGGTTATTTTTGGGAAAGCTGAGATCTCTTCATAACCCGGGCAAGATCCCTATGGCTGGAATTTAAATCAGCAAGGTAAAGCTAATAGATTCTGGGCAAAATCCCGATGTGGCGATGCTTGGTTTTGTTGTGTCCTCCCACCTTCCTTTCTGATCCCGTCTTGCATTTCATATCTCCTCTATAGTCTGAGGGTTCTTGGCCTTCCGTGGCTACCCAGCTAAAGCTCATCCACACTCAGCCTGTCTCACTGCTCTGCTTTACTCTTCTACATTTAACTCCCTAACATGATATACTAAGTGAATACCTACTGTGTGACTGACTGAGCTAGGAACATAGTAGGTATTCACTAAATATTTGTTGAGTGACTGAATGACTGAAACCCGCAGCTAGGGAGTAGCTTCTCCTTCTACTCTAAAATTCAAAGGTTTCCTCTCTGCCCTAATACAAACTTTCATTTTTCCAGAATCTTTGAAGTATTAGTTTTATGAAAATCATCACCCATGGGGGTAAGTAATGCCTCGACGTCCCAAGGGGAATATTTTCATTTTCAAAAAAGGATCTTAGTAAAACAGAAGAATGCCTACTACAGCGCTCCCGCCGCGGGTTCGGATCCTATATAGGGATGACCGGTGCACTCACAGCGCTCACTGGCTGAGTGCGGTGCGGCCGGTCTCAAAAAGGACAAAAAAAAAAAAAAAAAAAAAAAAGAATGCCTACTGGATGGAACATGTTGGGAGAGATATTTTTCACCAGGGAAGCTTTGCTTTTAAGGGTTTCTTATATCCTTCAGGACTTTATCTTCCCTGTCCCCTCATAGCTTGCT